TACAATAAGGTGAGTTATGTTTAAGCCTCATTAGTCCTTTAATGTTATATAAAGGACGTAACTTAGATAAGGTTGGTCACGACCTTATGTGCGAGGAAGGGGCAAATAAGCTCACTAACCCGATAATAATTCTCTTATATTATATGAACCAAATCATCAACTTCATGCCTCTGGCGAGTTGCCTTATCACATAAATTCTATATTTTGTAGTATAGATTATAGAACATACGATTCACCCCGTAACAATATGAAACCAGAATATTAACTTTACATAGCCTAACTGCTGCTTATATGAAATGTTGACTCTATACCTCGTGATGCATGCATTTATAGCAACAACTTCTATCGTAGAGATTTTTTTGATGTAAGAGTGCATGTTTTTGCTTCCAACTAACCTTTCTAATATTTCAAGTTTCAGGTATAGATATTTCATTATTACTTGTCACTTTTAGTAATTCCTTTACACATTTTAATTCTTTTTTTTTTTAAACTAACCAATCTATTCATTAACTCCGTATAATAATGGAACAGAAATATAAGTACCTTGGCTGGAAAGATTTTGGTGTTGAGTAGTGCTCCGAATGGGTCAGGTTGGGTTTTGAGCCAACCTGAACCCTTCCCAAAATTTTAGGCTAATATATTAAATTTTTTTTAAAAAATGAATTCAATCGCCCTATTTGCTCTTAAAATATGTATGTATGTACTTACAGTATATACTAGAGATCTACAGGTACTAGTGCGTATGTGCTCTGTTAAAAAAACATAATGGCCCTAATACATATATACGTATGTACCTATTTTCAAATTAATCAGATATGCATGAGAATTTTTTTTAATGCCTTGATAATAACCTATTTATTAGATGCAAACTGCTTAAGTCTCAAAAATAAGTAAAATTGCCCCAAAAATGGTAACTTATTTTTAGAAATCTACAGTAGTACCTAACCAAAATCGGCCAATTATCTCATGTCACATATTTCTACTTTATTTTATAGGAAACAAACCTCCAGGCTGAAACACTGCAAACTTTATCTGGTCTAAATGCACACAATATATGCATATACAATGTGATTTTAACCTTACATGGCTTGGTAACTCATGATATATGGCACATCTCCCAACTATTGTCAAAAAGATGGTAGAAAACATATAAAAGAGTAATACAACAGGGTTATGTTATTTGCGTTATTTTGTTATTAAAAAGCATATTATTTTTCTTTGCTCTTTTTTAACTTTTAATTTTACTAAGCTTTTACTTATCATAACTTCTGATTACTTATTTGTAAAAATTACTAAGCATCTATTATATATAATTTAAAAACTAAGCATATTATGGCAATCATGCTTATTCACCAAGAATTGGAGGAGAATCCATAGATTAGCAAGAATAATCTAAGAGATATTGTAAAAAGAGCAGTTAATTTGGTAAAAAGTTTGACTACTATGAGTTCTAAATGCAGAGAAAAACTTACTCAAATAATATCACAGATTAGCTACAAAATTTTTAGAAGTAAATAATATTAATATACAGAATGATGAATAATGCAAATAGGAGCATATTTCTAAGAAAGCAGTATAACAATATAGATTTTTTTATTAGCCCGCCAACAGGAATTTTTCTTGGCAGTGTAAAAAGTGTTTATATTGAAAACTATATTTGTTTTTATATTAATGATATGGTGTCTCACAAAGCCTTATTTGTATAGCTAGGCTATACCGGATATGGCTTTGTACTATTCTGACTGCCAAACTTATTTTTTATATCTGCATTTAGTTTGATATCGCATTTGATACTGTTAGCAACTTGCTAGACATCAGTGTGATAAAACTGGTATGTTTTAAAGGGAGTGAAAACAAAAAGAATACTTAGTAACAAATATATTTTTTTTATTAGAGTAAAGAAAAGCCACTTACTTCTGAACAAATAAAATATAATATTAATAAGTTAAAAAGAAAGCTTGCAGTAAGTAATACACAAGACTACTTATAACATATTATCAATATTTAACAAGAAATTTTGTATTTGTTATTTTCAAGAATGGAAAATCAAAGCTTTATCAAAAATTATTTGCTATTTTAAATAGAATATCTACTTTGGAATTAACCTAAGAAGACTCTCTAAGTAGTTAGGTTATTAGATACAATTCAAAGCTAGTTTAGCAGCTAAGCAACAAACAAAGAAAAAAATTTAAAGTTTGTAAACTTATGTTTTTAGTATTAAAAAATTTGTATTCTGTTACAAAATTTAAATTTATTTCATCAAAAAACTCCGTAGAAGATATGGTTCCAGCAAGAATTTCTTTCTTTATACAAAAAGAATGTATTCAATTCATATCAAATTTTTCAATACATATATCAGCAAAATATATAAATATAATCTTATTTAAGTTATTACAGACCGAAATCTTGCACAGGAATTTCACAACAATGCGGAATCTTATACAATTATCAATTATGGAATATTACAAAATATATACGTAATAAATTATGCAATATTACACTAATTAAATTACAATAATTCACAACAAATCACAACCATGTGCTATAAACTGACGTAAGCAGTAATATGAATAACAAAACTTTAATTATAAGAAGACAGAAATATCGCACTGTTTCGATTTAAATCGAATATAATAGAATTAAATCTGAATAATTCGAAATAATTTAATAAAAATGTATTATATAAATATATTTGAAAAGTATTAATTTATGATTTATTTGCAATATTCCGAATTAATTCGAAAATACTAAATTTATTTTACTATGAGATATTCATTCAAATAAACAAAATCAATATTTTATTATAATTTTATTTTATTTTATTTAAAATATAAAATATTACATATAAAAA